AGGCATACATATTTCGCGGCAAACCGTCAAGAAACTATTGTTGTTAGACAACGGGCGTGAAAACAAAAGGTGCACGTGCTATGTAACTGCCTTGTTTAAAAAACACAGACCATAAGAGTTGTTCCCTCCAAGTAGAAGCCCTCCTCGTCTTAAGTGATAAGCGAAGATTTGCTGGTACTTCGAGAGAGAGGACTCAGATAAGAGCAGTGAGAGAGAATAAAAAGGAGCAAGGCGACAGAAGCGACAACTACCCACGCGAGCAAAGACAGTTAAGCCGCCGTGAGCTTTAACGTCCCTTAAACGTCAAAGTTGCCCGGGTTTTTCCGTTGTGGTCCACGCTGCCTTCCCCACAAAGAGCTTCAATACTCGCGAGTGATTGCGGGACATGCCGTCAAGTCTCTGCCTCTCGTAGCTACGTTTCGATTTACTTTTCATTGTCGATTAGACGCTGGTAAATAGATTATTAGCTTTTCAAGCTCATGTTGTGGGTCTATAAAAGAAGAGGATGTGCTAAAGTTGGAGGGGAGAGCATCTGTCCGAGCGCCTTCCGTGAAACGGTATTTGGCTACATCTCCTACCCCCCCCCACACCCTATGAGGCGAGAAGATTATATGTTTAGGTTGGTAACTGAGTACACGATTACTCTCACATTTGTGAGTAGGGGGGGGTAGGTTAGCTCAGGTGATAGAGGGACGGAAGGGCGAAGCAAATCTCCCCTTCCATCAACAGCTGGGTCTTCAAGGTATTGGTGCGTGGAGGATGTCGGAGGATGTCATGAGGGGTTTTGTAAGTTCACAGGACCTACGCATACAATTTTACGCCTGTTTGGGTTACAGTGGATCGAACTTGACGTAAACTTGTGATCGTCCCCCAGGCGCATGGCCTAGCGCTTTTCCAGTAATGACGCGTGAACTGGTGCTTCGTCAACATACGAACTACCTTTGAGGGAAGCAAGAACTGCGGAGTTGGAGCTTACCTTATAATCTTTGCCTACTCTATTAGAAAAAGGCAAATATCATTTGTACTATATTTTTATGCTTCTTCCGACTAATACCAGTTAAAAATATCATTTCAAAGTTACGATCTCTATCCTTGTCTCCTGGAATGGGCTTTCATCAACGTGAAATAATAGTAAATCTTTTAGAAGCTATTTGCTTCGGGAGGAGCTACTCTCCAGTGAGGCTGAACCGCGTCATGTTTGCTCATCTGCACCCTCTCACCGAGAACGATTGACATGTTCTGTTATGGCTCAGTGTATGCCAGAACATGTTACCCTCTCATTGAGTTTTTGGATTTAGACGGCTTGGGGTAGACTTGTTGCGTTAGAGCATGGCGTGGATCTCTCGGAGAGTGGCTTCCGGGGGCACACAGCTTCCACAAGATCATCATTTGGCCCACCTGGCCACGTCTTTTTAATTGCTATTTCTCGTTGCGGTTCTGGCTTCAGCAAAGTTCCACTGAAAGCGCCTATCGTGATTCAGTTCTCAGCAAAATCTCGTTATGAGCAAATGTAGTTGATAACGCTGTATCAGCCGGGGGTAGCAGGGGGCGAAATGAGCCCGCTCCCGGCTATCTTGGTCTATCGGGTATGTGACAAGAGAATCGTAATTCGTCGCGCCATAGGCATCGCGTGCGACGTCGCGCCCGCTAATGACTACGATTTTAGGTGGCATTGGTGGAGAATAGACAATGCATGACCAGAAGTAGACATAAGTGTCTACCACTCCCTAAGGCATGAAATCTGATGCTCCAATCGAAAGGGCAGTGCCCACTAAGGGAATGTCGCGCCACTGCCACGCGCGGCAAAGCGACAATTTGCGATTCTCTTGCTCGTCTCCCTGGTCTACCAAAGGTGGTCGGTTAGCGGTCGATTTGTGGAGAAAACAAACAGTGATGGGGCCCACAGGCGTGTTTACCTCAGCTCTCATAGAATCGCCCGATTGATTGCTACCTTATCAGCTTTATGCTTAGTCAGTGATCATCTTCAGCAGACACGGGCCAAGGGGCGGTTCAAAGCATAGGAGTCACCGTACTTTTATTTGTGGTAGCCTAGTTCCAGCCGCATCATACCCAGTGCAGGACTTATGCGTAATGTTCAGGATAAACGGAAAAGGGAGGGAAGTGTCAAAAGGCACGGTGGGCGGACAACCCTTATGGGGGCGAATTCCGGCGACCCCTGAACATTCTAGCGGGCTTTGCAAGTGACGCAGTCTTGGTGCACGCAAACTGGTCTCTCAGTGACTGCCAGTCAGATTTGCTCGAAGCAGGCACCGCTATGGGCAGTATCGCACGGGCAGCCCCGGTGTGTGAGGTAAAACGAGTCCGAGAATGACTAGATCAATATTTTTCGCCATTTTCTAGGGCTATGGTTAGGGTTTCAGGACTTGTATCTCAGCAGGGTACAGGTCTCACATCAGCGGTTTGGAAGTTCCTCAATTGCAAACTTCTAGGAGTAGACCTGATGGCGCGCAAAGTCCAAGGACGTAGCGTTCTAAAGCCAGAGCAGCAAATTCAACAACTAACCGGTAGACGTTGCTGAACACACCGCTGGCATGCAGTCGTAGATTGGTCATCTTCAGAATAACCGTCTTCATTTCTGGCATTTCCTTGGCCGGCTGAAGAACCAGTTTGGATGGAGAGGCATGGGTCACCACTTTTCATGACATACCTGCTCAACGATTTCTTGACTCATACACTACCAAGACAGCAACAGTAGCAGCTACCATATAACAGACGTGGAAGTGTGAAATGAAACCACACCGGCTGGAGCTGCTAACTTGCTATATTATTGAAAGTGATGGAAGGAGTGTTATCACTCTACCGAAACATCGCTCCCGCAAAATTCGACAACAAGAAGTAGTGTTGACCGCCCAGCAGGGTCAAGCGTGTTGGGCTGCGTTCATACTTTGCGACAGCGTCCACAAGCTTCAGAGCGTTCAATGGCACCGGAAGAGGAGAGTATTGCGCGATAGGAGGGTAGTAGACAGCTGTGAGTAAATAAGGGATAGGAGGGTGGCACACTGCCTGTAGAGCTTGTAGAGAGTATGGCACGATAGGAGGGTGCCAACTATTTGCTACCCTCTTATCGGGCCATGCTCTCCTCTCCCGGACGCTGGTGGATGTTGATGCACGCTGACAGACGCTTGCTAGCGGCAGCGGCCTGGCTCAATGGGCTCGCGAATCCCTTCCTGTGAGGGCCTATTAATCCTACTTCATCTTGTAGTTGATTTAATCGTACCAACTGCTTCTTAAAAAGTAGGGGACGGCTTGCAGGGCTGTTGGCGGGGGCACAAGTTGGGATGAGAGCAGAACTTGACATTTTTTAACATTTCTTACTTCTGGTTTTTGCTTCGGTGTTAATGAAATGACATGAGCATGTTCACAGCACAAGTCGCAAACAGCAATAACAACAGCAACAACAATTTTTTATTCGATATCACAGACATGGTTAACTTTTCCATGGGATATAATGCCCATTCTACTGTCGATTAATAAATTCAAGGAAAGACACGCTTACTGGGAATTACGCCGCAGGTTTGAACTTGAGGAGAACTATTAACTTTTGCTATTCGATCACAATGCTTAATCGTGAGCTAGAATTGGTCCACAGGATTTCAACGAAAAAGTTGGTACGGAAACAGTTACCTGAGCATTTGTTCGGGAGCCAGACTTTAAAATATCATTCTGGTTATCCCAGTCGTTCTCTCCCTAATGGTTGATGGGCAGGGTTTTAGAACTACCTACATTACTTTCAGAACACATTAAACCCTCTATACAACATTTTTTAACTACTCTCCGCCACTGTGTCTTCCTTAGCTTGAGCCAAAACATCCTGAAAGAGTGAAACAGTTACATTTTGAATTAGGACGCGAACACTCGAAAACAATCGACTTCCCGGCGCAGGTTCGAGCTTGTGGGGCCAATAAAAATTACAATGGGAAGCTAGTGTTACAAGCTACAAGTGAGAAAGATTTGCCCTAGACTACAGGCACGTTAAAGTTACTCTGAGACTTCCCCAAATGAAGGATATTCGAAAACAATCGAATTTTCGGCGCAGTGGGCAACAAAGGGTATTCGGAAAAACTAGTACAGGCTTCTCGTGAAGACAGACGTAGAGGGTACAGTACGTAGATGTACATTCGTGTACCCAAAATAACTGACTTTTACCGTTTTGCAGCTTCACAGGGATTTACAGACCTCACCAAAGTAAGACCTGTATTACCATGAACTGTTAGAAGGAGGTAGCAAAGATGCAAAATGGCCCTCCTAAGCCGAACAGCGCCAGATTTTCATAGATTAAAAAGAGCAGAACTGTAGTTGCATACAGTCACTATTTAAGGGCACCAAGTGGTGCTGCTGCGGCGGCGGCGAGGTCTACACGAAGGAGAGGCAAAACCTACGCGCAAGAGAAGAGAATCGGCATAGGAGCACGTGGCCGCACCTCTTCCTGCTCTCCGGTACAGAAAATTACAGCTGGCTATCATCCTGAAGGCACCTGCGCGGATAAAATGGGGCTCCGCCTTGCCCCTCACCCATAGTATGAAGGCAAAAGCATGTTTCTGGTTCATTCTCATTACCATTAGATACTGTTTTTGAACGATAATTCATAAGGGGACAGCCAGCTAGGGACTGTTGTTATGAAGAAGTTTAGAACTTCACACTTTCCTCCTCTGTACACATCGGTTCGGGTTCATAGTGAAAATGAGGAACATCCTAAAAATAATCGAGTTAGGTGGAATTGTTAGAAAAGTCTCCTGAGGAAGAAAACAAGAAAAATGAGTAGATATAGTCATGATCCCTGAAGGAAAGGACGCACACATACATCAACGGTAGGAACAGGGGGTCTTGTAAACCCCGGGATGATGGTGTTACAGCATGCAAAATACTTTGCTGATGAAAGCCACTCACATTGTATAGATTTCTGTCAATACGAATAGTGTCGGCAATAGTAGTGTACTCGTCATGAAGCTGAGCATGTGGCCTGGAAAAGGACGATTTAAACGAATTCTCATCTGCAATGGATGCACGGATAGTTGTCTACGGTAATGTGTTCTCAGGAGCTTTTCAGTGAGAATGTGAATGGTAAAAGAAATCAGAAACCATGAATTTATTGGATGTTCCGTGTCAAGTATGCTCTTCAAAGACACTTCCCGCTATTAAGTGTTACGGGCAGTACGTACTCAATCATGAACCAGTATTATTTATTTATTTATCATTATTTATTTAGTGCACGCGGAGGTGCGGATTACATCACATGAGTTGTGCTAAATCGAACCGAAGCTATAATCTTAGCTAACACTAAATTGAGGTTACATACAATAGCTAAAATAGGAAAAAAGGTTCCCAGTCAGATCTTCGTCAGAAGAAATAAAAAGTTAATGAAAAAGCCAGTTCTTCAACAGTTGCAGGGGTATGAATTGGGTAACTCCCCATTAACTCGATGATTAACTTCAGCGGCGGATGACGCCAGGGAAAACGTCACCCATAGACGACAGTAGCCCATAAAAAACTCCCCAGTACAGAAAGAAGCGAGAAAATTTGGGAACACCCTGAACAGAGACCTCCTTCAGCAGTGGAGCCGGCGCCTTGGACGAGTTTGTCGGACGTCAGACGAGACCCATCAGCAGGATTCGACGTGCAACTCACAAAAGCCTCCCGGCAAGAGCCTAGGAAATCGCCCAACGACGCCTCAGGCAACGCTATGTACACACGCAGCTCCGCTTGTAAGCCGTTGTCTTGCAGAGTGAAAGTAATCGTGGTTGCAATGGTTGCAATAATCACGCGTCTCTAGCTTCTTTATCTCGCCGTTTCGAGTGACAAAAGTGGTATATTTTCTGCGAATGCGGACAACTATGTCAAATGCACGGATGCATTTCGCAGAACTCTTGATCGCGGGGACTGTCTTCAAGGTATTGTTTGGTCGTTTGGGAGAAAGATTGTACACCAGTTCTCACATGTTCTGTCCAAAGCTATTTTTGACCACGCCCACTTTCTTGGCCACAGTTTATGTATAATTTTCTCAGTACAGCTTCCAACAAGCACTGGTTGTTCCTTTTGACGAAATAATACTCACAATGACTCCTTCAGAATTGGTATCGGACGAGTATCAACGTCCGCCATTTCGGTTTCACTTTCAGAAAGGCCATCAACAGAAAGGCGTCGCGGAGACTCCTCTGAAAATATCTCGTCCTCACTAGGGATAATTTTGAGGAATAGTTAAATAATCTCACCGTTGCTTTCCTGTAACGCCTTCATCCTCGTTGACGAGATTTACAACGATTGAAGGCATGACGGTCGCCTCATCGTCGATTGTTACACGTGGTAGCGATCGCCGGCGCATTGGAGATGAGTTTGAGGTAATTGCAGAAAATGACTGGAACAGACAAAATGAACCCAGGAAAATGTCAATTTAATATCCACATTTTCTTTTTGGAGCTGGTGCTGGTTCTGTGTGTCACTGAGGAATGTTCCTTTTCGTGGTCTCGGAGAAAGTGGGGGAGAAGTATGGAGGGGCAGCCCTGCTGCTAGTTCCAGAGTAGACGACGTATTGAAGGCTCAGATATGGTGGCAGATGGAAGATTCGAATAAGAATCCATAGGCTAAAACTATGAAGGACAATTCCTATTCACTGGAATGAGCTTGCCATAGTTCGCCTGCAGCTTGGCTCCGATCAGGAAGAAGAAAACTGCGGTGATTTTCCATTACGACTCGCTGTCCAACTGAACGTTTAAAAAAAGCTTTCAAGTTGGACAGGGGGGGGCTGTGTTGAATAATCTCCGTACTGGCATGCCGTCATGAATAATCCCAGTAACAATGACTGTGGTAGAAGGGCAACAGGATTGCATGGCAGGCAAAGGGTTGGATTTTGAAAGGGCTCGAGCAATTCCAAAGGACGGGCAGTGAGACGTAATTGGGGAGAAGTTTTAGTACACGCATTGGATGTGTTTTAGACTACATATACTTTTTCAGTAAAAGTTTACAAAAGCGGCTTCCTTAGCATTCAGATTGTGGTAGGGCCGGTGAAAAGCACAATTCCGAAACAGTAGTCAGACTGTATTTTTACGAGATACCATGCGTTCCTAGGTATAGTATTTAACATTAATTGCACTCAAATTCCATACAACTAAAAGCGCCTACCGTGCTATTGTACGTGAGATCTGGTGGCGTACGTCGACGCTTCTTCTCGTACTTTTCCGGCCTCGTTTCTTTAGATGGAGGAAGTCCTGGTGAATCTGGCGTGGGGTCAGCCGATGAGGCACACTTCAATTGAGTCTTCAACAACTGTTCGAGCCGTGCGTTCATCATTTTCAACGCATCCATTTCTTCTTTCTGGAAATGAGAGAGTAAAATTACTATAAATTAGGCCCTGATCAGCTATATCTATCTAATGTCCCTCCTTTACGACTCAGATTCTAAGCTTGAGAGGGATTCTAGTCACAGTTTGTTTGCTGTAGATTCTGGAGCGTACCAGCGAGGCCGGGTTTGACGCGGTGCCAACCCGTTCTCCACCAAATGAATGAGCAAACGACCATCAGTGGAGAGAAACGGGCTGACGCCGCTCCTAATTCCAGTCCCTCCCTACGCCACCTCTGATACGCCCCAGCAGCCGTAGCGAACAAGAATTTATATATGGCTTGCGAGCGGGCATAGATGGTGTTATGGCAATGAGTACCGCACAGCTCGCTGTTGCCGAGGGTCACAGTTCGAATCGGCTCTTGCCCGGCCAACCAGCCCTCCGTTGCAATTAGACCGGTATCATATTTGTCTGTGGGGATAATAGCAGTTTGTAGTGGTGCGCATGTCAGTGTTTTCGCAGGTTAGCGAGACAGCACGTCAACTACCTCGAAAGGCTGAAGCTCCTGTTGCAAATATTGGATTGATCCCTGGACAGTGGTTGCTAGTACTGCCCATGCCCCCCCCCCCCAAACCATTGCCCTCTTCTCAGAGGTGAACAGAATATATAACTGATCACGGCAAAAAATGGTTTGAAAGTTGATAAAATAAAGGATAAAGTCTTCCGCCGTTGATCAATCCCTTTTGGGATGCGGCACGCATTCTACTTCCATTCAGAATCGTAGTGGCTTATTGAATGCGATGTGGCTCACAACAACTTGCTAGGCACAGTAAATGTAGAAGCTAGTGTTTTAATCCTCTCAGGGGGAATCTGGTACCGATGCTCAATCCCCGGATGATAGACGGCTTGGTTTGCGTGTGCAGAAGGCGATCCGAAATTAGACCCTCGGTCCGCGGTCGTGGTACATAAGCGTGTCACTTACCACCACACCACTTTCGCCTCATACATTATTGAATCTATACAGGGGGAGCCAATTAAAAAAAGACATTTTTCTCCCTTGACTTTCAAGGCGCTAAAAGTTACACTTTATTGGATTCTTGTAAGACCTCTTTACTACCATATTGGAGAGCATATCAAATACTATCACGATGCTCCGCCACAGCTTCTGACCAGCGCCATCGAGAAATTCTGCCACGCAACCATGGTTCGGTGCCTGAGTTCAGCGAGATCGTTGATTTCTCCGCCACTGTAGACCACCCTTATTGAACTCCGCCCGAACCAGGTAATTGATGGGGTTTAGGTCAGGTGACTCGCTTTGATATTCCATCTTCTTCAGGAACTTAACGCCCTTCCATTCCAAGTAGGCGAGAGTTTTTCCAACGCCCTTCAATTTCATGTGGTGTCCCAATCCTGTAGCAGTACAAAGTTTCCAAGAAGGTACGGGCGACCACATGTGAGGAGGATATTCTTCACGAGTTGCCCAATGTAACCAGCGCTCACCTTCAGTCCGGGGTCCACGAAGAAAATATTGGTCTTTCCATTCCAGGTACGTCCGGTCCATACCATCAACCCGCGCCTTGGCGACTGCGGTGAAGATGATGTCCTAGACCGTAGCGACGTTGTCGGAGCTGCTCGATGTTGGAGGTCATCCGAGAGTACTGGTCTCCAGGTAGCTATCCATGGGTGACTCCATACTAGAAGTTTCGCAGCTGTTTGGAGGTGACATGAATTCCAAAGGTCTTCTCCAGTCAGGCTGCGACTGGAGATGACTTCATATTTTGGTGTACATGAAGGTGATGGGCGAGAGCCAGCTCCTGCTTATCGAGGAACATCTTGGGTATCTTCCGCCCTGGTACTCGTATCCACGTCCTCTGTCTGGGCTGCGAAAACTTTGCTGATATGTGACTCGGTCGAAGTGACTTTTTTTTTGGCCCCCCCTGTATATTTGATCATTCCTAGATTTCACAATAAGAATCTTTCCACAATATGTTCGACTTTCAGGACCGGAATTCTTGGACCAAGCATAGTTTTACTGATCCCTTCAGCCCAAAAACTTGCCGATTGCAAGTTACGCAATCTAGCGATATTACTTTGAAGGCACGGTCCGCGATCAGGTATAGAAGTTGAAAATATGGCGTCAGGAGGGTAGTGTGGTCCGCGACGAACAACCTTGTACCGGTTTCGCGGCAAAAATTGTAAGGGAGGGGCGCTATAGCGCAATATAGGTTCAGTGACGCCTCCTTTTTTCCAGTGACTCCGCCTCCAGACTCCGCCTTCAAGGCCCGCCTTTCAGTGAAAAACGAGCTGCAGGACGAAAAAGCATGAAAATCGTCACTTGTACGGTCGTAGAGTTCTTATCGGGGAATCAGCTGGCGGCATGGTGTTGGAGATGGAGTTAATTAGGCACGCACAAAATTAGATCGGAATGGGGTTCTACCTAGAGAAATGGCCCGTTTGTCTTCTGCTTTTTCACCACTATCGAGTTACTCAGAACCTTGTCGTCTATATGCAAACCCCTAATCCACCATCTGTGATGGTGAATGATCGCGGTTTTCGCCTTCGAAGGCTGTTGGCACGACAAATCCCCAAGACGAGTAGGAATTAATACGCCTGGCAGGACGGAATTCCGCGACCCTGAGCAGGCGCCTTTCCAAGGAAGGTACCCTTATAAGGGCCCTATCAAGCTACAACATACCGACCCGAACGCCCACCACGCCCGCCCGCCCACAAATGGACGACCGTTCCTGACGCTCGTATTGATTCATTTGCTAAGCAAATTATGAAGCGAAGGGATTGGTATGAAGCGGCCGCGGTGCTGCATGGATATATGAGTACAACGTGCAGCCGTACCTACCGTAGCGGTTATTGGCAAGATGCCTGTGGGAAACTCGTTTTTTGTGTCACTGAGAACGAAGGCTTTTTCTTCGCAGGATTTTGACCGTTTCACTCCGTTCTTTCGCCATTTTCCCACTATAGCGCCCTGCTAGCATTTTAGGCCGAGTACCAAATTATGGGCTGACTGCCTTTGAGAAGTTCCTGTATAATCGACTCTTCCCTTGAACCTAGCCTATGAAGCCTGTACAAATGGTGCAATTGGACATGCTGAAACAAAATCTCTTTCATATTTTATGTGTGAGCATAAGCTGTGGAGGCTCGACTCTTGAACAATTATGTGAAACGCCTGTGCTAAGCCTTTCTAGGCGTGGAAATTTCAACTGCCAAATTGACTTACGTGACGGTTCTCCATCGTCTTCAGGACCACATCCAAATTACGGACATCATTTCGAACAATGTTCTCCACGACATTCATCCTGATAGAAAAACATTTTAGCCATTCGTTTTACTGTATGAGTTATCAGAAGCAACTAGAATTATTGGTAAAGGATTGCTTTTTGGGGAGGGGGAGGGCTTCTCTGTTCTCCTCTGATCCGCCCTTAGTTTCTATGCCGGAATGCGCACCCACGGAATGGACATACCAAGCAGTTCAGCTCAAGGGAAGAGGCGGGATATTTCCCAGGAAAGGCACGTTGGTCTTCATACCTGATCAAGCCGAGGAATGGTTAAGGAAAAAAAGAAAGGAGAACGGGGACGTATCTGGTGCCACGGGAGGGAGTTCACCAAGTGAAAAATTGTTCTGATTTTTCATTTCACCCGTTTGCAATCCCATGAGTTACCTCTAACTGGCTCTCTGGAGTTGTACCGTTTCTGACAGGTGTTCCGGTAGTTGATGCAATCTTTACATCCCCCTGTTGACGGATATTGGGGAATTGTAGGAGTTGGGGAGCAATCATCCTGTGGAATAAGCTTTACCCTGCTCCTGATTTTTCTTTGCAATGCTGTGCAATCGGGCAATCCAACTTAAGTCTACAGTCCTGTGAATTTCTTGGAGTACCCTCTCTGTTGCGGACAGCCACCACTTACATGTGGTTTTTCATACCTGTTCAAAATTTGTTCTGAACGCTCGGCAGTACGATGGATTCGTTCGTCGTTTGAACTTTGTTTCCGGATATCTTTCTCTCTTTCCATGTCTTCTATACATTCTTCTTCGAACGAGTGGATTCTTTCGATTTGTTCTTCGGACAGGAAAAGTTCTGAACATGAGGGTGTCATAGACGTTTAGGACATTGAAGAAATGCGCCAAACTTCTGAGACTTCCAGAAGAGGCACTTTCGATTGAAAAATATGCATTTTCACAAAAAAGGCAAAAGAAGTAGGATTCAGGAGCATCGATACACATGTCGTCAATTTTTAGAATTTCAGCAGTGCTTCCCCTTTTCCAGATGTCCCTGTAGAGAAGACAAGAAAAAGTAGGCAGAAGTTGTATTAGAGCCGTAAAAGATAGCAACTTATCTACCCACACCACTTGATATTACTACCTCCCCAAATCATCATGCATTTTTCGCCATGTGCTAGGGGAAAGGGAAATCACAGCGGTAAAGGGCAAAGCAATATATAGTCCACTTGTTCTCCGAAGCCCCTTATCTGCAGAACCAACGCCCGATTGGTACTCCCACCAGCGCTATGAATTTTTGGACAGGCAGACGTGCAGTCGTTATCACTAGAGTCTGTCGGGGCGTGTAAGCCCGGCGTGGGTATTGACCAATTGCCCCCGTCCTTTACAAGACACTTGACAGAATGACATTTGGAACAGTGACTAGCGCCGCACCAAAATCAATGCCGAGCTGACTCGCCCCGACTGGCTTTAGTGATAGTAACTGTAGCGATTCATAAAGGGTAGGCTGGCAGGTCAAAAAACATGTCTCGGCAGACGCTAAGGACTTGTCGGTGGGGGGGTAGGCTTGGCACAGTGCCAGCCCATCCAATTGTTGTTCCTTGCTCGCCCCAACACCTAGTGCAGCTTGCAGCGAAAACGACTGTACTTTCTCTTCTGTCAGAGTCCGGGTTCTTTTGTACCCATGTGGGTAACTGTTGGGAGCAGCCGGTCGTACTGTGGGTACAAACAAGGCTAGTCGTGTTCACCCAGTTCCGGTTCAACTTAAAGTGCAAAGGACTTTTAAATGAGTCT